TGATTTTGGGGTGATTTTGGGGTGATTGTGTGTGATTTTCAGGTGATTTTGGGGTGATTTTGTCTGATCTTGTGTGACTTTTGGGCGATTTTGGTGTGATTCTGGGGTGATTTTGTGTGATTTTTGGGCTATTTTATGTAATTTTGGGGCAATTGTGTGTAATTTTGGGGAGATTTTAGGGTGGTTTTGTGTGATTTTGTGTAACTTTGGGGTGGTTTTGTGTAATTTTGGGATGGTTTTGTGTGATTTTGGGGGGATTTTGGGGTGGTTTTGTGTGATTTTGGGCTATTTTGGGGTGGTTTTATGTGATTTTGGGGTGATTTTGTGTGATTTTGTGTGATTTTGGGGTGATTTAGTGTGATTTTGGGGTGGTTTTGTGTGATTTTGGGGTGGTTTTGTGTAATTTCGGGGTGATTTTGTGTGATTTTGGGGTGGTTTTGTGTGATTTTGGGGTGGTTTTGTGTAATTTCGGGGTGATTTTGTGTGATTTTGGGGTGATTTTGGGTGATTTTGTGTGATTTTGGGTGATTTTGGGTGATTTTGGGGTGATTTTGGGTCATTTTGGGTGATTTTGGGTGATTTTGGGGTGGTTTTGTGTAATTTCAGGGTGATTTTGTGTGATTTTGTGTAATTTTGTGTGATTTTGGGGTGATTTTGTGTGATTTTGTGTAATTTTGGGTGATTTTGTGTGATTTTGTGTGATTTTGTGTGATTTTGGGTGATTTTGGGTGATTTTGGGGTGATTTGGTGCTGTTTGCAGGGAGCAGCAGCAGAGCCAGGAGGTGCTGCTGGAGCTGCGCCTGTGGCACCCCCACACCCTCCCGGGGGGGCTCCCGGGGGTCGCCCTGCACCCCAACTTCCGACAGAACCTGCGCGTGGCCCTGCTGGGGGGGTGAGGGGGGAGAAAAACAAAAATATGGGTGAAAAATGGGGGAAAATGGGGGAAAAATGGGGGGAAAATGGAGGAAAAATGGGTGAAAAATGGGGGAAAAATGGGGGAAAATGGGGAAAAAATTCCGGAATTAATGGGGGAAAATGGGGAAAAAATGGGGAAAAAATTCAGACTTAATGGGGGAAAAATTCGGAATTAAAGGGGAAAAAAATTCGAAATTAATGGAGGAAAAAATTGGAATTAAAGGGGGAAAAAAATTCACAATTATAGGGGGGAAAATTCAGAATTATAGGGGAGAAAATTCAGAATTAATGGGGAAAAGAATTGGGAATTAAAGGGGAAAAAAAATCGGAATTAAAGGGGGAAAAATGCAGAATTAATGGGGAAAATTCGGAATTAAAGGGGAAATGAATGGGAATTATTGCAGAGGCCGGGCCGCGCCAGGAGCTGCTCCAGGGAGGCTCCGCCCACAGCAGCCCTGGGAAACGGGGAAAAATGGGGAAAAATGGGGAATTAATGGGGAAAAAATTCCGGAATTAATGGGGAAAAATGGGGAAAAAATTCAGAATTAATGGGGAAAAAATCGGGAAAAAATTCAGAATTAATGGGGAAAAAATCGGGAAAAAATTCAGAATTAATGGGGAAAAAATCGGGAAAAAATTCAGAATTAATGGGGAAAAAATGGGGAAAAAATTCAGAATTAATGGGGAAAAAATGGGGAAAAAATTCAGAATTAATGGGGAAAAAATGGGGAAAAAATTCAGAATTAATGGGGAAAAAATGGGTGAAAAATGGGGGAAAAATGGGGGAAAATGGGGAAAAAATTCCGGAATTAATGGGGGAAAATGGGGAAAAAATGGGGAAAAAATTCAGACTTAATGGGGGAAAAATTCGGAATTAAAGGGGAAAAAAATTCGAAATTAATGGAGGAAAAAATTGGAATTAAAGGGGGAAAAAAATTCACAATTATAGGGGGGAAAATTCAGAATTATAGGGGAGAAAATTCAGAATTAATGGGGAAAAGAATTGGGAATTAAAGGGGAAAAAAAATCGGAATTAAAGGGGGAAAAATGCAGAATTAATGGGGAAAATTCGGAATTAAAGGGGAAATGAATGGGAATTATTGCAGAGGCCGGGCCGCGCCAGGAGCTGCTCCAGGGAGGCTCCGCCCACAGCAGCCCTGGGAAACGGGGAAAAATTCAGAATTATAGGGGAAAAAATTCGGAATTATAGGGGAAAAAATTGGGGGGAAATGGGGAAAAAATGGGGAAAAAATTCCGGAATTAATGGGGAAACAATTCAGAATTATAGGGGAAAAAATCCAGAATTATAGGGGAATAAATTGGGAATTAATGGGGGAAAATTCCGGAATTAATGGGGAAAAATGGGGGGAAAATTCAGAATTAATGGGGAAAAAATTGGAAGAAATGGGGGGGAAAAATGGAGAAAAAGTGGGGGCAAATGAGGAAAAAAATGGGGGGAAAATAAAGGAAAAAATGGAGGAGATGAGGAAAAAATGGGGGGAAAATGGGGAAAAAATGGGGGGAAATGGGAAAAAATGGGGGGGCTGGAAGGGAGGGAGGAATGAGGGAAAAAAACGGGAGAAATGGAGGAAAAGTGGGAGGGAACGGGGGGAAAAATGGGGAAAATTTGGGGGGAGAATGGAGGGGAAATGAGAGAAAAATGGGGAGGAAATCTGGGCCCTGTGCATTTCCCACACTTTGTGGGACTGGCGGGTTTTGGGGTGGTTTTGGAGGTTTTTAGGGTGGTTTTTTGGGTAGTTTTTTGGGTTTTTGGGGTGGTTTTGGGGTGGTTTTTGGGGTCCAAACTCCGTCAAGGATTGCTGATTTTAGGGGTTCCCCAGGGCCGAGGCCTGTGTGGGAATTTGGGCCGAACAATCAGAAAATCGGGGTTTGTGAGGGGATTTTGGGAAGCTTTTGGGACTTTGTGGATCTGAAGGTTTTGGGGGGCGGTTTTTGGGGTTTTCTGGGCTTTTTTGGGGTCCAAACCCCTCAGGGATTGCTGATTTAGGGGGTTTCTCAGGGCCGAGGCCTGTGTGGGAATTTGGGCCGAACAATCAGAAAATCGGGGTTTGTGAGGGGATTTTGGGAAGCTTTTGGGACTTTGTGGGTCTGGGGGTTTTGGGGGGCGGTTTTTGGGGTTTTTTTGGGGTGCTGACCCCCCCGGGGGCCGCATTTTGGGGTCCTGGCAGGGGCAAGGCCTGGTCGGACGACACGGCCCCGCTGGGCCCGGACCGGCACGCCCGCGACGTGCCCGCGCTGGACAAGTACGCCGAGGAGCGCTGGGAGGTGGGAATTGGGGCATTTTGGGGCATTTTGGGGGATTTTATGGGATTTTGGGAGGTTTTGGGGTGCCGGAGAAGCTAAAATTGTTTTATTTTTAGGTGGTTTTGCACTTTATGGTTGGGTCCCCGAGCGCGGCCGTCAGCCAGGACCTGGCGCAGCTGCTGGTGCAGGCCGGGCTCATGAAGAGGTTTGGGGGAATTTGGGGGAATTTTGGGGCGTTTTGGGAATTTTGGGGGGTCTTGAGAGGGTTTAGAGAGAATTTGGAGGGATTTGGGGAGGATTTGAGGGGATTTGGGGTTTTTTTAGGGTTTTTTCAGGGGGATTTTGGGACTTGTCACAGCTGCTGGTGCAGGCCGGGCTCATGAAGAGGTTTTGGGGAATTTGGGGAAATTTTTGGGATTTGGGACATCCTAAGGGGGTTTAGGGAGAATTTTGAGGGGTTTGAGGAAGTCCTGAGGGGATTTTGTGGTTTTGGGAGGGATTTTGGGGGTCCTGGAGGGGATTTGGGACCCCTCCCCAATTTTGGGGTCTCCAGGGAGGGGAATTGAGGATTTTGGGGGGGATTTTGGGGGGATTTTGGGGAGGATTTTGGGGAGGATTTTGGGCCAATTTAGATGGATTTTGAGGAGGATTTTGGGCCGATTCTGATGGATTTTTGGGGGGGTTTTGGGGAGGATTTTGGAGGGGATTTTGGGGAGGATTTTGGGCCAATTTAGATGGATTTTGAGGGGGATTTTGGGGAGGATTTCAGACCAACTCAGTTGGATTTAAGGGGGGATTTTTGTGAGAATTTCGGGCCGATTCAGTTGGATTTTGGGGTGCTGTGAATTTGGGGCGGTTCCTGCGGATTTTGGGGGTTTCCTGACGCCCCCTCCCCGATTTTTTGGGGTCCCCAGCGAGGGGGGGGAGCCCCCCTGCATCACCTCGGCCGGGTTCCGGACACTGGGGACAGCCTTGTCATCCTGTGGGACATCCCCCCGCCACCTCCCTGTCACCTTCTTGTCACCCTCGGTCCCTCTGTGTCTCGATGTCCCAAATGTCCCCATTAATGTCCCCAATCCCCCCACTGTCCCTAATGTCCCCAATGTCCCCAATCCCCCAATGTCCCCACTGTCCCCAATGCCCTCACTGTCCCCAATGTCCCCAATCCCCCCAATGTCCCCACTGTCCCCAATCCCCCAATGTCCCCGATGACCCCAATGGTGTCCCTGCTGTCCCCAATCCCCCAATGTCCCCGATGTCCCCAATGATGTCCACTGTCCCCAATGTCCCCGATGTCCCCAGTGATGTCCCCTGTCCCCGTGTCCCAGACTCGGAGCTGCAGGTGGCCCTCATCGCGCTCTTCTCGGAGCTGCTCTATCGCTTCCCCAACCTGGTGGTGGCACAGGTGACAAGGGACAGCGTGCAGGCGGCCATCGCCAACGGCATCACCGCCGAGCAGGTGACACTGGGGACACTGGGGACACCAATGGGGACATTGGGGACACCAATGGGGACAGTGGGGACACTGGGGACAGCAATGGGGACACCAATGGGGACATTGGGGACACTGGATATGAGGACACTGGGGACAGCAATGGGGACACCAATGGGGACATTGGGGACACTGGATATGAGGACACTGGGGACAGCAATGGGGACACCAATGGGGACATTGGGGACACTGGATATGGGGACACTGGGGACAGCAATGGGGACATTGGGGACACTGGATATGGGGACACTGGGGACAGCAATGGGGACATTGGGGACACTGGATATGGGGACACTGGGGACACCAATGGGGACACCAATTGGGATACTGGGGACACTGGATATGGGGACACTGGGGATGCTGGGGACATTGGGATACGGGGATATTGGGGACACTGGGATACGGGGACACAGGTGACACGGGTGACACGGGGACATTGGGGACACGGGGACACTGGGGGCACTGGGATATGGAGACATTGGGGACACTGGGATATGGGGACACGGGTGACACGGGGACACGGGGGACACGGGGACACGGTGTCCCCCCCGGCAGTGACGCCCCTCCCCCGCAGATCATTCACTTCCTGCGCACCCGCGCCCACCCCGTGATGGCCCAACAGGTGAGGGGACCCCGAGGGACCCCAAGCCCCCTGGGGGTCCCAAATCCCCTGGGGGGGGGGGTCCCAAACCCTCTGGGGGTCCCAAATCCTTTATGGGGGGTCCCAAATCCATTCTGGGGGGTCCCAAATCCTTTATGGGGAGTCCCCAATCCTTTATGGGGGGTCCCAAATCCTTTGAGGGTCACAAATCCTTTATGGGGTGTCCCAAATCCCCTGGGGTGTCCTGAATTTGGGGATCCCAAATCCATTCTGGGAGAGTCCCAAATCCTCTGGGGGTCCCAAATCCCATTCCTGGGACACCCCACTGTCCCCATGTCCCTGACCCCCCTGTCCCCTGTGTCCCTGTCCTGTCCTCTGTGTCCCTCTCCCTGTCCCTGTGTCCCCACCGTGTCCCTGTCCCTGTGTCCCTGTCCCCGTGTCCCTGTCCCTGTGTCCCCACCGTGTCCCTGTCCCCGTATCCCTGTCCCCGTGTCCCTGTGCCTGTCCCTGTGTCCCCACTGTGTCCCTGTCCCCGTGTCCCTGTCCCTGTCCCCGTGTCCCCACCGTGTCCGTGTCCCTGTCCCCAGAGCCCGGTGCTGCCCCCGACCATCACGGACCAGATCCGGCTCTGGGAGCTCGAGCGGGACCGGCTGCGCTTCTCGGAGGGTCGACATTGGCAGATGTCCCCAAAGTGTCCCCAGAGTGTCACCAGGGTGTCACCAGAGTGTCACCACCAAGGTGTCCCCAGGGTGTCCCCAGAGGGTTCTGAAAGTGTCCCCAAGGGGGAGGTGACACCCTGGGGATGTCCCCAAGGGGAAATGAGGATCCTGAGGGTGTCCCCAAGGAGGGAGGTGACACCACAAGGCAGGAGTGACACCAGAGGCCGTGTCCCCAAGGGGATGGTGCCACCCTGGTAGTGTCCCCAAAGGGGAGGTGACACCACAAGGGGGGAGATGACACCAGAGGCCATGTCCCCAAGGGGAAATGCCAGTCCTGACGGTGTCCCCAAGGGGGAGGTGACACTCTGAGGATGTCCCCAAGGAGGGGAGGTGACACCAGAATGAGGGAGGTGACACCACAGACCATATCCCCAAGGGGGGTGGTGGCACTATGGGGATGTCCCCAAAGGAAAATGCCAGTCCTGGCAATGTCCCCAAGCGGTGACATCACAAGGAGGGAGGTGCCACCCTAGGGATGTCCCCAGCAGGAAATGCCAATCCTGGTGATGTCCCCAAGGGGGTGGTGCCACCCTCGCAGTGTCCCCAAGCGGGGAGGTGCCACCAAAGGGGGCAGGCGCCACCCCGGCGGTGTCCCCAAGGCTGTCCCCTCCCCAGGTGTGCTGTACAACCAGTTCCTGTCCCAGGTGGATTTCGAGGTGCTGCGGGACCACGCCCGCGCCCTGGGCGTGCTGGTGTTCGAGAACCCCGCGCGGCGCCTGATGGTCGTCACCCCCGCCGGCCACCCCGACGTCAAACGCTTCTGG